AACTTCACTAGTGAAGTTGGGTTTTTGAGATTACATCGAGCCAAGCCTTTCACTTTTTGCATTTCCATTTTTACAAGGGTAAGAAGCTATCATTTTATTTCGTCAGACCCACATAATGTTGATATTAACATTGAAATTAAAAGTAGCGGCCTACTAAGGAGTAGTCTGTGCTACATGAAAATGATACATTTTTCATAAAATCTGTCGACTTGAATCTATTCAGCAAAAACTGCAAATAAATATAAATTAAATTGGGAGCAAGGGGTGCCTATCATAGTACTCCGAGAGTACCATTGGGAAAACTTGAATTTTTTCTCAATTTCAGAGTACTTTCACATAAATTGTTTTTTTATTGAGTATACTATTGTTTACAACTTTTTGCTTTGTGGGAAATTTCGGAGTAATTTAAAATAACTTGTTTTTTATTGAGTATATTATTGTTTACAACTTTTTGCTTTGTGGGGGAATTTTGGAGTACTTTCACATAATTTTTTTTTATTGAGTATATTATTGTTTACAACTTTTTGCTTTGTGGGGGAATTTCAGAGTGGGAAATTTCGGAGTACTTTCACATAATTTTTTTTTTATGGAGTATACTATTGTTTACAACATTTTGCTTTGTGGGAAATTTCGGAGTAACTTAAAACAACTTGTTTTTTATTGAGTATATTATTGTTTACAACATTTTGCTTTGTAGGAAATTTCGGAGTAACTTAAAACAACTTGTTTTTTATTGAGTATATTATTGTTTACAACTTTTTGCTTTGTGGGGGAATTTCAGAGTGGGAAATTTCGGAGTACTTTCACATAATTTGTTTTTTTATCGAGTATACTATTGTTTACAACTTTTTGCTTTGTGGGAAATTTCGGAGTAATTTAAAACAACTTTTTTTTTATTGAGTATATTATTGTTTACAACTTTTTGCTTTGTGGGGGAATTTCGGAGTACTTTCACATAATTTTTTTTTATTGAGTATATTATTGTTTACAACTTTTTGCTTTGTAGGGGAATTTCAGAGTGGGAAATTTCGGAATACTTTCACATAAATTTTTTTTTTATTGAGTATATTTTTGTTTACAACTTTTTGCTTTGTGGGAAATTTCGGAGTAATTTCACACAACTTGTTTTTTATTATGTATATTATTGTTTACAACATTTTGCTTTGCGGGGGAATTTCAGAGTACTTTCACATAATTTGTTTTTTTATTAAGTATATTATTGTTTACAACTTTTTACTTTGTGAAAAATTTCGGAGTAATTTCACACGTGTTTTTATTAAGTATATTATTGTTTACAACTTTTACTTTGTGGGAAATGGTAATTTCACGGAATTTGTTCTTTTGACCTATACATTAATATGTTCTTTTAAGCTATACATCTTGGCAATTTAGCAGTAGAGCTCCTCAGTATCTCACTCGACGAGCATTTGAGTCCCCAACCTACCAGAAAATGTGAACTGGTTGCCTACGTTTTGATTTTGGTTATAGTTAGTTCTTGTTGCCATTTCCATCAAAGTTTTTGCTGAAATAGCCTTGTCAAAGACCAAAGTAACCTCAAAACTAGCGGCCTCTGCCTCAGGCCCAATTCAAAAGGGGCCTCATAATTTTTTTTAAATGAAAAACAAAAAACAAATTTAAGGCCCCACTTCTTCCCTCCTTCCCGTCTTTGTGCTTGCATGCGATTCCTTGTGCCTAAGTTGGACGCGGTTTGGTTTGGGTCGGTTTTGACTCCAACCCAAAACCAAAACCAAAGTAATCGATTTGGATTAATTTCAATCCAAATCAACCCACTTTAACTCTTAAACCGAATCAACCCAAACCAAATCCATTTGGTTTGGTTTGGTTCAGTTTGGTTAGTCGATTTGGACTTTTAGTCCAATTGAATTTCTTTTAAAAGATGAATTGTCGAGATTTTGGAAATTACAAAAACTAAAATAACTAAATAATTTTATATTATAAGAACTATTGACTAACAAAATTAGGTTAATAGAGACATATCAACAGAAAACAAGAAAACTTATGAATTTTGTTGTTTTCTATGCATTATGTAGCATGAATGCTTGAGTAGGGGAAAAAATGCTATGTATAATATAATGAGCTTGTGAAAGGAAATTTTCAGTGCTATTACTTACTAGCAGCATCATAGATTGGAGAGAATCAAGATATATATATATATATATGTTTGGTTCATCTTATACTTTTGTTCGAAACCTATTTGATTCGAGCAATTAAGTCCGAGGGGTTTCTCATATCCTGTTGCCTATGGTCATCTGACTTGAGTTAACCGACCTAAAGCTCATTACAGGGGTCAATTTAGTCGCTTAATGGACACGAGTCTGCACATAAGATGTATTATACAAGAAAAGTGATATAAAAAATTATATGCTCATCTTCAGGGGGAGAAAATAAACTTCGTCATGTACTTGAGCTCGTTTTTAGGTTCTAACATTACATCTGGGTTTGAATTTCGTTAATACTTACTTTACAGTGATGTTTGCATGTCATTTCTCACAAATTTAAGGTTTGGAGTCATATTCATGAGAAAATAGTGGCACTTTACACGCATAAGTCACTCATACACTTTACTCCATCTTGAACCTCATTGAGTATGTGGGAAAATCTTTACGGATAATGCTCGACTTGTGAATACATGCATGGTTGTGATCATAGGGTTGACAAGAGCTTAATTTATTTAATTTTATTTTAAAAAAAATTGGGAGAAAGAGAAAATTGTTTAATTTGTTCAATTTTAGTATTCTTTCAAAAAAAAAATTTGATGCTATTTTCTTAATTTTTAAAATTGAAGTGCTATTTCTGTCAATTCCATTTTCGCCAGTTTATCGCTGGAACTCGCTCGAACAACAGCAACAGAAGCTGTCTCGCTCGAGCGACAAGCCATCTTTTTGAATTTTACCGTTATTTTTCAGGGTTTTTCAGATTTCTTCCTATTCGTCTTCTTGATTTCTTTGATATATTGCCCACCCACGTCAAATTGGTTGTTTTATCAAGCTCTCATCATCTCAAATACACTTTTTGTGTTCCAAATTCATTGATTCCACTTTGTTTGAGGGTACATTGCTTAAACCCTTTTCTCTTTTCTTTGTTTTTGCAATTATTTTGGTATGTTTCGAATTTTACCATTGTTGCTTTGCATTTTTGGGATTTATGCTTCATATTCCTCTTGTTTAAAATGCATTGTCATCATTGTGCACAATTTTGCAACGAAAATTGGATTTTTTGTCTTTTTCCCACGAGCTTTCTCTATTGTTTTCCACGTATCTCATTTTACATTCCACTTGGTGGATTTGGGATGGTCTTTGGTGCTTGATTGAGAGTTGATGATTGGAGTTTTGAGGTTGTGATGGTTGGAGTGATTTTTCACTTCATGTCGATTTCTTTGGTTGATCAAGTTTGGTTGTTGGGGTATCGGGTTGGTAATTTGGATGTAAATTGTATTTTGTGCTTTCGGTTGATGTGGGAACACTTGGTGACGTCAGGTCACTACGTCATGTCCTTACGTCATGACATCGCGTCCTTGCTCTTGCAATCACAGCACGCGTCCTTTCTTCACGTCACCTATGTCTGGCATCACTGCATGTTGTTGTGCATTCATGCTAGGGCGTGTTGCATGTTACCCTATCTACCTCGTTTTGTGTGCATTCATGCATCTCACGCACATCATGCATTAGTATCGTTTTATCCCTGTTTTTAATGCTTTTGGTTCCATTTTTTTCAGGTGCCGCCTAAGAGAGTACTCACAGTCGCTTCCACTCCTAGTACCTCATTGTCCTGTAGTAGGTCTAAGTTTATCTCGGCTATGGCCCAAGGCACTTTTAGGTCGCAGTTTTTTCTTCGTCCCGTTCTTTTTTAGCGCGAGGTCATTATATTTGACCTATCCCTCGACCTCGCCACTATTTTCACTTCTCGAGGTTGGGAGCCTCTATTAGTTGAGTTAGTACCCCCGTCGAGTCTATTAGTTCAGGAGTTTTTCGCTAA